CCGAAAAAAAATCCACAGGGTTTTTATCTTCCTTATTAAAGTTCTTCATCTAAGCTTTTAGAGCACTGAAAGCAAAAAGGCCTATTTACATGGGTCTCTAGTATGAAAAAATCTAAAACAACTTTATATCTATTAGACATATGGCAATTTTTAGCAAAAAGTTCAGTTTATGATGTGAAACTTCCAGAAAACAGGATTTGTAACTGATGTTTGTTTGGGTTTTTTGGAACAAATTCCTGATTTTGAAAATTTGAAACTCTAGTCATTCTGGGTAGGATAGGATAGGATAGGATAGGATAGAAGTTGGAAGGGACCTTGGAGGTCATCTAGTCCAACCCCCTGCTCAGGCAGGAAACCCTATACCATTTCGGACAAATGGCTGTCCAGTCTCTTCTTAAAAACTTCCAGTGTTGGAGCATTCACCGCTTCTGGAGGCAGGTTGTTCCACTGGTTAATTGTTCTAATTGTCAGGAAGTTTCTCCTTAGTTCCAGGTTGCTTCTCTCCTTGATTAGTTTCCATCCGTTGCTTCTTGTTCTGCCCTCAGGTGCCCTGGAGCTTGACTCCCTCTTCAAAGCACCTGAAGGCTGTCATGTAATATCTAGAAGCCATAACACTCCCACAAATAAACCAAAAATATGGATCAGATATGTAGACAACATCTTCACCATAATAAAAAAGATCCACAGAACCATCAAAAACATATTTAAAGGAAAGAACCATCAAAATCTCTGAAATAGCACGAAAATAATTCCTTGTTTCAGTAAAATATGCATGCGACACACAGCCCCCCTTAATCCCAAATTTGGACAAGAAGGGAAACAAAGATAAATTCCTATAAAAGGAAGAAGCACATGAAATGACGAATTCTTATAAAAGGCAGAATCACATGAAATATGCAGAATCATCTGCATTTGGAAAGATTCCCTGACACCCAGATGTCAAAGGATGTCCTTAAGGTCATATTCTAGTCACGGAGAAGGAAGTTGGCCTTACATTTGAGACAATCATCCAACTTCGAAATGCTAAGCTGGAGAAGACCAGAAAAGGAAATGTAAGACTTTTGCTTCAAAAAGTTTGCTACTTTTTTAGAAATAGGCAACCAGCATCGTTAGGAATCAGCATGAGAATTTTAATTTGCAGTTGGCTGTGGGTATCAAGTGTCCTCATTTTTTTATTTCTCTGGACAAGTTGTGGCATTGGATGTGTCCTGCTTTCAGACATTAGATTAGGGGTCTTCAAACCTGGCCCTTTTATGACTTGTGGACTTCAACTCCCGGAATTCCTCAGCCAGGCACACGTGCCTGGCTGAGGAATTCCGGGAGTTGAAGTCCACAAGTCATAAAAGGGCCAGGTTTGAAGACCCCTGGACTAAGCAAACCACAGAAGAACTGCTTTTAATCTGAGTCCTGGAATCACAGAATGCAGAACCATAGGGCTGGAAGGGACCTGCGAGGTCTTCCAATCCAACCCCCTGCTCAAACCAGGAACCATCACAATTAAAGGGTTGTCCAGCCTATTTTTGAATAAATGGAGCACCTACAGCCCTGGGAGGCAAGCTGTGCCTCGATTAATCATACTCAGGGTTAGAAAATCTCTCCTTACTTCTAGGTTGGATGTCCCAAAGGAGGTCTTTTTTCAGGAGGCAACTGGACTTTCTCGTTTTTCTTTGAAGACGTTTCGCTTCTCATCCAAGGAGCTTCTTCAGTTCTGGGTGAATGGTGGGGAATGGAAGGATTTGTATTCCATTCCCCACCATCATAATCAGAGCTGTGAGGGAGACAGACGGAGGTTTGCACAGGACATTAAAAGCAAATTCCCTACATTTGGCAAAGGGTTCAGGAAAGCGACTCCATGAGGCACCTCCTTGAATCTCCTCCTTGAATCTCGGCTCCAACAATTCGCTGGGATCAAAGTTTTCTCTGTAAATAAGTTTTTAATCTCCCAGGTCAACTAACATTTATTTGGCATTGTGACTTTTCTTTCTTTAAATGGGACTCTCCCCTATTGTACTGTACTGTTATGTTAAGATGTGCCATTAGGAACAAGGATTTGCTTACGTAAAATAAGGATATTTTAATTTGGAAGAAACCGGTACAGTATTTCTTAGTTAACAAATAACCTTTTGTATAACTCCTGCTTTACACTTTATTCAGTGGGTTTTGTTCTAGTATGTAACGTACAAGATTAATTGCATTTTGTATTAAAATTATTTAATCAAATACACTGTGTTGCACTTAACAGATTTGATCTCCTATTTTTCAGATTTATACAGCGATCTTTTTTTAAAAAAAATTCTGCTTTAAAAAAATATTTTTGGTAATTTTAAAATCACAAAACATATAAATTAAGAACAGCAAAAAAACTATCCAATGTATAAAGAGCAATAACGTTAAAACAGTAAAAATTCGGTTGAAATAAAATTAATGAAAAGGTGACACGGCAGCATAACCTATTAAAAACATTAGCAACTTAAAAGGTCAGGGAGAATAAAGGACTTTTGCGTGGAGCCCAAAAGTGACATGAGATATTCACTGCTGGAGTCCAGCACTTCAGAGGACAAACTTGAACTTACAAAAAAAAAAAGAGGAACAAATACATAAAGCTCTGCAAATTTTATTGTATTTGGAAGAAACACTTTGGATTTCGCACAAGTGCAGCAGCTGCCTGTTATTCATGAAAGCTGCTTTTCCTGGGTCAAGATTCTGGGTTGGCTCTGGGCACTGGATTCTCCCAAGCCCCGTTTCTCAGGTTGAGCCACTTTAAGATGGATGGACTTCAACTCCTGGGACTCCCCAGCCGGCATGCAGACCCTCCCTCACCCCTGGGCATTCCCTCCCCCCCTCCCTCCATCCCCATCTTTAGTCATAGCCTGTATTTTTGCTGATTGTATTGTATTGAATTTGTATCATATTGTATCGTTATTGATGTATTTATGTATTTTATAGAGCCCTGGTGGCACAGTGCTTAGAGTGCAGCATTGCAGGCTAATGCTGCATTCCCACCGCCAGGAGTTCGATCCTGACCGGCTCAAGGTTGACTCAGGCTAGAAACTGGGAGATCGTGAATTTTAGTCCCACGTTAGGCAGAAAGCCAGCTGGGTGCTCTTGAGCCAGTCACTTTCTCTCAGCCCTAGGAAGGAGGCAATGGCAAGCCACTTCTGAAAAGCCTTGCCAAAAGAACTGCAGGGACTAGTCCAGACACAAACGAATTGGGGGGGGGGGGGGGGGGGGGGGNGAGGCAATGGCAAGCCACTTCTGAAAAGCCTTGCCAAAAGAACTGCAGGGACTAGTCCAGACACAAACGAATTGGGGGGGGGGGGGGGAGAGATGGCAACCCTTAATGAACTTTTGCTGAACAGGACTGACAATAAGGTTTTAAGGATTTGTTTATAGGTGAACAGATGAGTCGTGGAAAGAAGACATCCTTGGTTGTATTTCCAGATAAGGTGATGTTACTAAAATTGTTCTAAAAGTTATCTCTTTATATATATTTCCTTTACTACTATACTTAGCTTTTCTTCCTTCTCTATTTTTCTTTCTATTGTGCATTTTCTGCACTTTCTTGTTTTCTTTTTATTCTTTTCTTTCTTTTTTAGTTTGTATTTATTTTTATCTTTTTAATTGTAATATTTAACACACGTAAGCAAAAAAAAAACCTAGGTGGCAAGCCAGCAATGCAAAACCACCAACATTTTGCTACCACCCAGCGGCCACCCAGGTACGATACACCTCACCCTGCCACGGTTTGGAGCCAGCTAAAAGGGCCTCAGATGGGGGTCCTGCAATGTTTAATATATTTTTTTCATGAATTTATTGATACACTTTAACAAGTTATGGTTTGAATGATTCATTATTCTGGGATATGAGCTAAATTAGAGCTCAAAGCTGGAGTACACACACACACACACAAACAAACACACACACAGAGTGCTGTGCAAAAGTCTTAGGCCACTGTTAGAACTGTTGTTGTAGCAACCGTATAACGACCATATATAATTATGTCTTCAGCCTCCTTATAATACAAAAAATCAGAGAAAAGAGCTTCCCTACTAGCCCAAGGCCTGGACCTGCCTCAAGATTTCACACGCCTCAACGGCCGCTCTGGCCCCCTCCCCACAAACCCCCCACCTCTCTCCTGGCATTGATGAAGTTGCCTAGTTGGGTCATGAAATCAAGACAACCACCCAGCTCAGAGACCACCCAGGACCACCTCCTCCTTCCCCACAACGCAAGCCCCACTTCCTTCCAGCACTGAGGATGTTACCTAGCTGGGTCACGAAACGTCTGCAAGGAAACCACCCAGCTCAGAGAGGACCAGGTTGGTGCCAGGCAGGCTTTCGATGTGCACGGGTCGTGTGAATGCAATTCCCCGGAAGGCTCGCTAAGAAGAGCCGCTTTCCCCATCCCGGGGGGGGAGGAAGGGGGGGGCTCCGGGTCTGCGGCAGAATTTGACAGGCGGGAAACCCGGGCTTTTTTCCTCATCTGTCTGTCTTTCTTTGCCAAAAGAGGCGAAGACTTTGCCCCAGCCAGAAGGGCCTCTCCCAGGGCCTCTCCTCCGAGGGCTCTTCTGGCTTGGGCAAAAGTCCTCGCGCCCCCGACCAGAGAGGGCGCGGCGTCGCCTGCCTGCCTGCCTGCCTGCGCAGGAGGGGGCTGGACTAGATGCCCTCGGCGGTCCCTTCCGGCGCTGCCACCCCGTGGCCGAACCAAGTGCGCGCCTGCGCGGGTGTCGCCCTCCAGACGTCGCCCGCCACGCAGAGCCCGAGGGGAGCCGAGAGCGGCCCCTCCATCGGGACGCCACCGCTCGGGTGGGGGTGGGGGTGGGGGCGCTTTCTCCCGGCCCCGACGACCCAGCGCGGGAGGGAGGGAGGGAGGGAGGGAGGATCCGGGCGCCGCCGCCGCCGCCTTCCCCGCCTTCCCCGCCGGGCCAGGCCGCGCAGAGGAGCCGGGCGGGTCCCCCGGGCGGGCGCAGCGGGAGGAGGCGGGGCCGGGCGCGCGCTTACCTGAGGCGGCCCGGCTCGTCCCGCAGCTTCGGCCTCTTGGCGCGCGGAACCTCCGCCGCCGCCGCCCTCCTCATGGCCGGCTGCTCGGGGCGGGGCGAGGCGTGTCCCGCGAGGTCTCCGGCGGAGGAGGAGGAGGAGGAGGAGGGGCGGCAGAGCCCGGGGCTTTCCCTGCGGCTAGGCCGGCCGCCCTGCTCTCCTCCTCGGGGCAGCCGGCGTGGCCGGAGGGGCGGGGACGGGGCGGGGTCCGCCGCCATCTTGGGCCGCGTCGCTGCCCCCTCCCCCTCCCCCTCCTCCTCCTGCTGGTCGGCCGGTCGGTCTCCTGGCCGGGCGGGCGCGGCTGTCGCGGGGAAGGTAACCGGCGAGGGCGGCGGCGTCCCCTGAGCGCCTCCGGGGCAGAGGAGGGCGGGAGGGCCGCGAGGGGCGGGGGCGTCTGGGCGCGCGGCGAGGCTCCCCCGTGTGTGGGGGGGGAGGAGGGGAGACCCGTCGCGGCCTCGGAGGGCGCCCCCTCCGCCACGGGTCGCTTTCCGAGTGGAGCCGGGCGGGGTTGGGGCGCTTCTCCCCTGGCCTCTGCCCCTCGGAGAAGGCGCGGCTGTGGACCGAGGCCAGGCCGGGGCCAAAGGCCGAGGCGTGGCAGGCGTGGGGGTGTGCGGGGGGCGGGTGTCTCCTCCGCGGCCCGTGAGCGGGGCCTGGACTCCAGGTTGCAGCTGGGCTGCTCCGCCCGAACCGTCTCGGGCCTGGAGAGAGATGGAAAAGCTCAGCCGACTTAAGCTGCTTCCGTGGGAAGCCGGCATCGGGCGGTCCCGGGGCTGCTGTGGGGGCCCCGGTGGCCTCTCTAGCCACGTTGGGATGGGAAACCTCCCTGTGGGTCTCGGAGGAGGCAGTTCCAGAGGGGAAAAATCCACTAAATCCATTTTACCCAATAGGGGTAAAACGATTATTGGTCAATTTAAATCTCCTATTGTGTTTGGGTAATGGGGGGGGTGTTACCCAAAGAAAAAAGGATCCCCCCCACCCAGATTTGGGAAGCTAAGCTGGTCTCTAAGCCAAAGAGAGAAGAAGCTCTCCAGCCTCAACTGCCCTTGGCCTGGCAGGACAGGCAACCCCACAATTTGGACCCAGGAGTTTCTAGATCCATTTTCCTAAACCGGGACGTCAATATCCAGGCAGAAATCCCTGTTAATGTTAAGTCCCTCATAATGATGGGCAGTAATAAAATGTGCAAGATGAAGCCACACAACCCAAGTGTCTCTTCCTGAGTATCTGTTACCTCTTCTGCACAACTGGGAAATGAAATGTGGTCACTAAGAAGTTGGGAGGCAGGTTTAGCCCTGTCCCCCCCCCCCTTAAAAGCTCAGTTGTTGCACCCGGATAGGCCTCCCGTTTGCTTAAGGAATTTGTTTTGATAAATGCCTGAAAAGATAAAGCAAACTGCGGGCTTGCTGTCTCCTGGATCCTAGCTGGCTGTGGAAGGCCTTGTCACATGAAGCTTATCCTAGCTTCTCACCAAACATGAATTGGCATGATAGGGGAACTGGGACATTGTGTACTTGTGTCTGTACTTTTGATTTGGAGTGCATCAGGACAAGGAAAAAATAACCCCCTCTCCTGGACTTTTCACAGGGGTGGGGACACATCAAGCTCAAGCAGTGTGCTAGGAGGAGGTGAATGTTGGACCTTGGAAAGTCCCAGCTCTTCTATGTACAAGGGGCCAGAGAGCCTTATCCAACATAGTTACAGAAATCTGTTTAGTCGTTATTAGCTTCCCTCTTGGTTTGGGAAAGCCGTGGTGGCTGGGTTCACACAGTCTGAGCCGCAATCAGACCATCCCTAAAATAGGGCTTAACATGAATTTCTACGTCAAGTTTTGTTTTTTCAGCAGACTCTGTAAGAGAAAGGAGGTGAACACTAAAGGTCTGAGACTAGAACTACAATCTGCTTCTCTGGATGAAGGAGGGTGTCACCTAGACAAGCAGGAGTGATGCTTCTCTCCACTCTCAGTTCATTTCTAATTGTGGTTGGGATCTAAATAGAAGCTCAATGCATGACATCTGGCAGGAGGTTTTCTTACACGGAAGCACACCACCGTATCATTGTATTAAAGATCATATTTGTTTTCATATGCTGAGTTATGCAGGATCAAAGATCCAGTGATACCAAATCCTGCCACGGCCCTAAAGTAGTGATCTGAGGCATAGAGAGGTCTTCCTGTTTTTTTCCCCCATGGAATTCATCAAAATCTACTTCGAACTAGAAAAGTTGGGGTCCTACTTTTGCTAGCACGATAGCTGAAAAGTGTAGGTTCACGTGGTTTTTGCACAGACCACGGCTATCCCACTGATAAAATGATAACCATGAATCGCTGTTGCCCAAAAGAATGCTTCTGAGTATGTCATGGATTTTTACAGAGAACCTCTCTCAAATGGTCTTTGAAAGGCAGTTGATACTTATATCCATTAGTTATACAAATAAGATCCCTGATCCAGTTAATCTGTGATGTCCTGGTGCAAGTCATCATTGATCCTTGTGATTATCATGCAGCCAGATATATAAATACGTATCTTGGTTGTAGAAGAAACCATAAAGTTCACAACTCTATACTTCATGGAATCGTGATAGCAGGAACTCCTGGGTGTGTGTAATTGGATCATCGGACGCTTCTTGTTTTATTGCTTCATTTAGTTAATGTGTTCTTTTTACTTTGCATTTTTTGTACAAAGCAAACTGGTGGCTTTGAGCCAGTCACACACATTCAGCCCAACTTATCTCACAGGGCAGTTTTTGTGGGGAAGATAGGAGGAGGAAGGAGTATTAAGTATGTTCACCACCTTATTTATAAAAATAAAGGCAGGATAAACAAATCTCATGTCGTTACAAGATCCTATCCTTCCAGCTAAAGACTAAATTTCTCAGTTGGCGTTTCTTGACTCTCTTAGGTCAAAGCTATTTTACAAAAAATGCCTAATTTCAAACTATACCTTCTGCTGCTGACCTTCCCTCTGCATTGGTTCATTGTCTGGGTTCACACACGGCTCAAGAGTTCACTGTTGGGGTTTGGTTCATTTTTAGCATAATATGTGATGAGCTCATCCATTGAGTTTCCTGCTGTGTGCAAACAGAGCCAGCAGAGTTTCTTCAGCAAATTGTGGATTTAAAAAATGAAGTTAACACGAGGTGGGGGGGTTTGCTTGAATTGTGTCCTCCATTCTCCAAAGAGTCATTGTAATAAAGCAGGGGGTGAGAGCTCTCCTGAAGCACAAGGCGGTTTGATTTTCCACTAATGCACATAGCGCACCTGTGTCCTCCCAACAGAAAATGATCCACAGCCTGTTTCTGATCAATTCTTCCGGGGACATATTCTTGGAGAAGCACTGGAAGAGTGTCGTCTGCCAGTCTGTGTGCGACTATTTCTTCGAAGCTCAGGAAAGAGCAGCCGACGTGGAGAATGTGCCCCCCGTCATCCCCACCCCTCACCACTTCCTCATCAGCATCTACCGAGACAAAATCTTCTTTGTGTCTGTCATACAGACGGAAGTGCCACCTCTCTTCGTCATTGAGTTCCTCCATCGCGTAGCAGATACTTTCCAGGTTGGTCTACAGGATAGCTGGGTGGATTTAGGGGAGAAATGTGCTTCCAGTTCATATTTGAAAGCTCTGGATGATTTCCACATATCCATCAGTTGTAGTGGTTAGGCTGTTCGTTTTTTTTCCTGAATAAGATATCTGAGTTTTAAGAACAGGTTCCACAAAATTGTAATTATGGGCACACAGAACGGCAGAAATTTAGTTGGAACAAATGAACGACTACTCATATTTAGAAAAGAGGTCATTAGGAGTTTGGGATTTGTAACTAATTTTAAGCACTGCAATAGGATTTCCAACTACAACTTGAAGTTTCCAGAATGGAACATTTTATCTATAACTTTGTCTTGAGGAACTCGGATTTCATTCTGCCTTGTTGACAGCAGATACCTCCAGAATGAGGGACGTGGGCGAGAGGCGTTCAGGCTGCTGCCTAACCCAGTCTTGCTGTCCTATTTATAAGCCTCTGGCTTCCCTTCTTTGCGGCAGGGGAAACGTCGCCCACGAGGAAGGAGCAGGAATGGTGGAAGGTTGGGGACTTTCGGATCTTCTGCTCCATACAGGCAGCCTGATTCAACCCCACATTTTCAGTTTTTCCAAAGTGGAATTTACCAGCCTCACAAAGAATCGATGTTTTAGGGTTAGATTTCTTCCTCCAGCAAAACATGTCAAATTATTTTAGTGTTATTTGCTGAGCGTAAACCAAAACAGATTTCAGGTCTATTTAGGGAGGTAGAATTTTTTTCACTAAAATTGTTTTCTTTCAAGGCTGCATTACTGAATGCTCTTGAGAGTGACATTAGCAGGTAGAAATAGGCCTCTGTGTACAATCAGATGAGGAGGCTGAATGGTGTCCGTTGGGTTTTTATGCTTTCTTCATTTTTAAAGGTTTTGAGCAACTTTAGGCTTAGCCAGACAATAGAATGGAACCTGCGAGTATCCCCATAGCTACAGGTAGCTGTAGACTCTTACTTAACAGCAGTCTTCTGCAGCATTGGGGAGAGGGCTTGTGTAAGTTGGTTGTAACTGACTGCACATCAAGATACATACAATTTCTATCCATGGAAGCTGGGTCTCTACTGAACAGGTGTCCAAAATAATTACGTGCTTCACCTTCTGGTGAAGAGCCCTTCCCGTTTTTAAACCATGGGGGGGGGAATCCATACTGTCTGAATAGATGAAAGGATGTTAAATTATAGGAGCTGTCTTTCTAGCGGAAGACTGGTTTTTGTTTTTTTTTAAGTGAAGGTTTTGTTATTAACTGAAACAAACTACCTTCTTTGTATTCTTTGTGGATTTAGGATTACTTTGGAGAATGTTCTGAAACTGCCATTAAAGACAATGTTGTTATTGTGTACGAGCTTCTTGAAGAAATGCTGGACAACGGTTTCCCCCTGGCCACGGAATCCAACATACTGAAGGAGCTCATTAAACCCCCCACCATCCTGCGCTCGGTGGTCAATTCCATCACAGGTACCGCTCCGGCCGCTTCCCG